CGAAAATTTCCACTTACCAAGTTTGTTGACTGTTGAATCCTAATACCTTAAGAAATATTTATTATAATAAAATTATATAAATTGAATAAATTTGATGTAAGCAAATGGAAATTTCCATTGACTAAGTTTATTGACCATTGACTGTTAATGCCTTAAGATATATATTTTATAATAAAATTTATTTTAAATTTTAAAATAAAAAATATTAAATTAAAAAAAATTCTAACATTTTAAAATCTCTTTTATTTTAAAATTTTTATTTTACTATTTAATATGATATGTACGGTAAATAAATTTTTTTGATTATTTATATATTTCACAGTGGAGCTTCATTCAGGGATAGGCTGCAACCTGGCAGCGATGCATGGCCTCAACTTTACCTTCTCTGCAACAGCGAACCCTCCTTCTTCATCCTCGCCTGTGTCATCTTCTTCTCCCTCACTCCTCCAGGTTTCTTCATCTGGGCACATTTATTTTTCTCTAGTAGGTTCTCTTACCAAATAAAACCAGTTACACTCAGATAAATTCTTCATTCATCCCAATCAAATACATCCAGGATCTCGCTTATTGCTGTGTTTGATTTGGAGTTGAAATTTGAAAGATTTTAGAAACGTTTCTTCTTCTGGGTGAAAATGAAGGTGGCCCAGAAAGAATCGGTGGTTTGGGATCAGATTCAGATGAGGAGTCCTTCCACGAACGCCCTGGTATCCGGATCCCCGACCCGACCCGTCCCCAAACTCATGGTCTGGTTAATCCTCTTCGCCTCCCTCACCTACGTCGTCTACACCCTCAAGCTCCTCACTGCCCCCTCCCACGCCGCCTGTGACGATCATCTATTCTCCTCCTCCGCCGTTAGTAATCAGCAACACATTTCGCTCCCTTCAATCTCCAACACGACCTTGCCCACGCCGTCGATTCAAAATCAGACGGTTGGTGTTTCTCATCGAGATATCCTGGAAGAGACCAGGAAGGACCCGACAGAAATCCACCACATCGTTTTTGGTATTGCGGCTTCCTCGAGGCTCTGGCAGAAGAGGAAAGAGTACATCAAGATTTGGTACCAGCCGAACCAAATGCGGGGGGTGGTGTGGCTGGACAATCGAGTGAAATACACCGCCGAGGACCGGGAAGCGTTGCCGCCTGTGAGAATCTCGAGTGACACCTCGAACTTCCCGTACACGAACCGGAAGGGGCACCGGTCCGCCATTCGGATCTCGCGGATCGTCTCGGAGACGCTGCATTTGAAGCAGGACAACGTGAGGTGGTTCGTAATGGGTGACGACGACACCGTTTTCATCACGGAGAATCTCGTGAGGATCCTGAACAAGTACGATCACAACCAATTCTATTACATCGGGAGCCTGTCGGAGTCCCATTTGCAGAACATATTTTTCTCCTACGGCATGGCGTACGGCGGCGGCGGGTTCGCCATCAGCTACCCGTTGGCCAAGGCGCTGTCCAGGATGCAGGATAGGTGTATTCAGAGGTACCCTGGATTGTACGGCTCCGACGACAGAATGCAGGCTTGTATGGCCGAACTCGGTGTCCCACTCACTAAGGAACTCGGTTTTCATCAGGTCCGTGACTCACTGCTTTCGCTTTTCTTTTTTCCATTTTTATTATTTAGTAATTTGGGGGTTTTCTAATTATGATTTCCATTATATTTGCCCGCCTTATGAAGACTAGAATCTTCCCCTTTTAATGGCATCTAAATCTAATCAAGATTTTTGGGTTTTTTTAATTCTAATTAAGTCATTAATAAATGCAAATAGTTCTCTTTTTTAAGATATTACAATTATATCATTTCATTATATCGTATCTAATAATATATTTAAATTTTTAAATAAAAAAATAATTATATATTATAGCTAATGTTACTATAGTAATTATGGTTGTTTTTTTTCAATTAAAAGAAAAGGCCTGAAAAAGATTGTTATGAGATTTTGCAGTTCAGTTTCTGAAAACTTTATTGGCGTGGCCGTGTGGAGATTTGGTTTTGGTGGACCATTATTTTCTGTCTGTAGACTTGAGTTACAACGTATGAAATGAAACACTGTAGAGTAACGACGGGTAGGACTTAAGCCCTGGGTGGTTTGGTGATTTGCTCAACTGCTTGTCCAAAACGTTGAATTCTTTTGTCCAAAACGTTAGTTCTTTTGTCCAAAATCTTAATTCTACAGAGACAATGAGACGTGGTGTCGGTGTGGGTCCCACCTTGGTTATGTTTGATTTGGACCAGGTTTTGTCGCATCTTTTTATTTTAATATTTTGGGTGAGAGCCTGTCTCTTTCACACTGCCATTTGCATTATTGGATAAACTGTTGAATTTGTATTTCTCTTAATCGAAAAAGTTAAAGAAAATGTCTATCAGAAAAAAAAATCTAAAATTAAAAATAATTAGTACCAATCCGATATTATTGAGGTTTTTTTTTTTTATTTTAAACATGAGGAATTTGGAAGATGGGGATATTTTTTTAAAGCGTTGATAGAAATTGAATTTTCATTTAAGTAAATCCAAGCACTTAAGACTTGGGATGAATTATTGGATCGATAGTCCGGTTTGATATTATTGAGGTTATTTGATCCAATTCTGAATGAAATCGTATAATATTTTGTAAGTTAGATGTTGATGAAAATGATGATTGATTTTAACAATCTCTTTGGTTTTGAATGGAGAACAGTATGATGTTTATGGGAATTTGTTTGGACTTCTTGCCGCGCATCCTGTGACGCCATTAGTGTCGCTGCATCACCTGGATGTTGTCGAGCCCATTTTCCCCAATGTGACGAGGGTTGAAGCACTTCAGCGGCTAATGTTGCCTGCGAAGTTGGATTCAGCAGGGCTAATGCAACAATCCATCTGCTATGACGGTGCCAAGGGCTGGACCGTTTCGGTTTCTTGGGGTTTTGCTATTCAGGTTTTCAGGGGCGTCTTTTCACCCCGTGAGATGGAGATGCCTTCAAGAACGTTCTTGAATTGGTATAGAAGAGCGGATTACACTGCATACGCATTCAACACCCGCCCAGTTAGCCGAAACCCATGTCAGAAACCTTTTGTGTTTTACATATCCAATGTGAAAATGGATTCTGAATTAAATCAAACAGTCAGTGAATATGTGCGCCACCGAGTTCCTCACCCTCCCTGCAAGTGGAAGATGGCTGATCCTGCTGAGCTTGACAAGGTGGTGGTCTTCAAGAAACCCGACCCCTATCTATGGGACAGAGTAAGTTACTATCCTCCTCATTTCTTCTGCAATATTGTTTGATCTCAGATGTAAATTCAAAATGATAATGGGATTCTTGTGTGTTTTGGCAGTCTCCGAGAAGGAATTGTTGCAGGGTGATGGAGTCGAATAAGAAAGGAACAATGATGGTGGATGTGGGTATATGTAGGCAAAACGAGTTAAGTGAAGTATAGGGATAAAACCAGAAAAAAACGTTTGGATAGTAGCCGTCCCCTTCATCCCTCCATTTCCAATTCTTAATTTATTCGTCAAAATGTTTCCAATTTTGTAAGCGGACGTCCTCTCATCAAGGGTAATGCAAGCAGGACGAATCATTATTAGTTGAAAAAAAAAAAAACCAGAAATGTGTTTCTTGTATAAAATCTGGTAGTTTGACACACATTTTAGTGCACAGCAACTTAGTTTTACTTCCTTATGTCATTTATGAGTTCATTTTTTTCACTATTCGTATTGTACTGCAATATAAAAAAAATATTCTTAGATAAGAGTTGGGTAATCTCCAATATTAGCAGATCTACTTTAGTTAAATTTTAATTTTAAAAACAATTCATCAATTATTTAAGTAATTTAAGTGGTTATTTCTTTATGTTGTAAGTAAAAGATATTAAGTTCAAGTTTTATGGCATGTGATTGGGATGGGATAAAAAATAAGAGATGGTTACTTATAATTGTGTAATCAAAATTAAAAAAATAAAAATAAAAACAATTCAGATTGATCATTTATATGCTTATTCTATAATTTTTTTTATTTTTGATAGGGACAATAATTAAGAGTTAAAAATTAATATTTTATTTTTTAATAAGATTTAACAACTGATCAGAAGTACAATTCACCGACAATCCTGTTGGGTGCAGTGGCCACCAACGTGCCACACAACAGGGAGCCACACAACAGGGAAATGCGCTTATTCTATAATCAAAACAAATATGTGTTGTAGTTTACTATATAATGTGAAGTATTGGATGAGATGAGCAATGCTAGGGGCACTCTCTTTTCGCACTCTCCGGTCAACACTTTCTCTTTTATTGGGTCACGTTATATTGGTTCCCGAGAAGTTGCGCTGAAAGCTTTAAAGAAGCTTACGTGGCCCAATGAAAGGGGGAAGTGTTGGCCGGAGAGTGCGAAAAGCGACTGCCCCTAGCATTGCTCTGGATGAGATTGGCTTCTGAACTGTTGGGAGCTCTCTTCCTCTCTCAATAATTTCTATTCTGGAATACAAAACAACCGTTGGTAAAAATCATTACTATTTTTTTACACAAATCTCTCCGACATATACAGACTCCCAGAAGACAGGATGATAATGTACCCTTTTAGACCACTGGTCTGTCACCTGACATGCGTCAATTATAAACATAATGTTTTTAAAATTTTTATTTTGGTTAAATCTACAATTTGATCCCTGAATTATTATACAGATCTTGAATTTGATCCTTAAACTTAAAAAATCTTTGATTGGATCCCTAAATTATTGTACAAACTTCTAATTTGACCCTATTATTTATTAATTTGCCCCAATGGATCCTTTCATACAAAAATAAAAACATATTTCGTTATTAA